AAAAAAAAAAAAAAAAAAATCAGCTCACGGGTCCTGAAAAGGTCGGTCTAGAATTCTTTTCTTTTCCCCCTTTTTTGTTTCCCAAGGGAGGGGTCAGGACCCATGACCCCACTCCCCCAGATCTGCCAATGTGAATTGCGAGAAAATGTAACTCGGTCGGGTACTGGATAAACATTCTCTTTTCCATCCTTCTCCTCCTTCTTCCCTCCTTCTTTTTTTGCATTTCCGATCATACAAAAATCTCCAGACATTATATATTTTTCGCCAAAAAGTGGGGGGGGGGGGGGGGGGCCGGCCCCCACCCCGCTTCCGCCGGCCTTGTAATACTATTTTTCTTCAGTGAGGCTATTTCCAATGAAGAGTGGTTTGTTTTAGTATTGCAACTGTATACACAAACATTTAAAAAATACTTCCTCAAATAACTACCGCTCAAAATGTAACTCGGTCGGTGACTGGATAAACACTCTCTTTCCCTCCTCTCCTCCTTCTTCCCTCTTTCTTTTCTTGCGTTTCTTTCCGATCATACAAAAATCTCCATGGACCGGTTCTGGCCACACCGGTTCTGCCGGTCATGCAGGGGCGGATCCAGAGATGTCCAAAAGGGGGGGGGGGGCGAAAGGGTTGGCCGAAATTTGGGCCGATCGAGACAACAATGCCCTAGGGGTCCGGGGCATGCCCCCGCGAAATGTTTGTGTTCTAGACGCCGGAAAATACCATTTGAGGCGTTGTGGGCTATCATTTTCTTCTTTTTCTTTCTTTCCCCCTAAATCCGCCCCTGGTCATGTATAACACATTAAAAAAACAAAATATCAGTAATTGCAAGGACATAATACAGTTGAGCAGCAAAAGCGAAACCAGTTGCTATAACCATAGAGAAAATGCTATAACTAACTCCCTGATCAGTCTCAGAGCTGAAGAGTATCAGTATCTTAATTTAAAACTTCAGCTTGGTACAAACATTATTTTCTCTATGGTAGTACACTCCCTGTCGGACCGAACGCGAGGACAGGACCGAACAGGATTGAATACCTGGCTAAAACCATTTTTAAGTGGTAAATAAATTAAAAAAAAAAAAACCAAACAAACAAACACAAAGAGCATAGATTTATTGGATACTCAATCAATAGAAGTATTCATTTCTATTATGTGGTATCCACGGTTATTGACGGCTGGTTTAATTCGGATGAAAGTTTTTTTTTTCTGAAGTCCTAATTATGCTAATTTTTTCTAAAATTATGCCAGCACATGCTAGATGCTAAATAGGTCTAAATTATGCTAAAAAGCATAATTATGCTAGGTCTGGTCACCTTGATCAATTGGTGATTGAGAACTTGAACTAAAACATAGAAAATACGCCCTCTATAGTTGTCCATATACAATTATTTGCAAACTTAAAATCAGCCCTCCAAATCGAGACCACTTTGTGGACCTAAAATTTAGAGTGATCTCGCGGTTCGGTCTCTGATTAAAAAACGCTAAAAATGGTCTCCAAACTGAGCATAATTAGAGGATAACCGAACCTGAAACATATAAATAAAGACCAAAGCTAATTGATCTCCAAATCCAGAAGACAACATGGAACAAACCATTTATTTGTTTCGAAAGAACTCATGTTTGCTTTTTTAATTTGTTTTGCAGTTAAAAATAAAATGTTTCAATACTATATGTTGCTTGAATTCTGTGTTCAGAACGTAACATGTGTAGTGAAAAGTAGGCCGACATTGAATTTTGATGAAATTCGGATAAAAAATTTGAAAATAGCCACTCTTAAAAAGAGTCCCCAAAAGCATATAAAAGTGGAAATTTTTTGAAAGAAGAAGTGTTTGGGCGAGGTACTATGTGTATCTAAAGAGAAGTGGAGCGTGGTGGGGTGGTTGTTGAAGTAAATTAATTAGTAACATTTTGGAAGATTATTATTATTATTATTATTATTATTATTATTATTATTATTATTATTATTATTATTATTATTATTATTATTATAATTATTATTATTATCTCCACTAATTATAGGCTTCGATTTTGAATGGACTATTTTGTCTGCTTCGACATTCAAACACATTATTCGATTACTCATTAATATGATCAAAAATAAAAAAACAATAAGTTCGCTGATTTGAGATTAATTCTATTTTTTTAGTACGATGCCATTTTATGATTCGTAATGTGGTTTGTATTCTATATTTCAAATTTCATGATTTTATTTAAATCTCCTTTTAAGATATTCCTGGATCAATTTTATAGGCCTACTGTTTATTTTATGTAAGTATTTATGTAAGTATTATTTTAAGTGAGTGACCATTCCTCAAAGCTTATAATGTGGGGCTCTCATATAAAGCTCAAGTGAGACAAAAACTATATTGAAGCACAGAAATACGCTTCTGAAACCGGACAGATAATTAAGTAGTTTCCTGAGCACTCCCTCAAATTGGCGCATTGAAACTTTGTATAATGCGCCTAATATTGTTTTTGTATTTTGTTAAAGGGACAGCGAAGACAAGCCTAGGTTTCTGAACTGGTCCCTCACCATTGTATGTTTTTTTTTTTTTTTTTATTGTTTCTTGGTGAAATAAATGTCACGTTGATTGATTGATTGAATATGAAGTCGAA